TGCTGCTGATGTACTGTAGAGTTTGGGAGTGACTGATAAGATACGACCAAAGGAAACAATACACCCCGTCTCAAGTGCAAATCTTTCAGCCAGGTCAAATTTCTAGCCTGAAGAATTCGGCATTGAGTATTTATTTTGTGTTTTGTGTTTCTACACTAGACTCAAATTCCACTTGAGTGTTTCTCCCATACACGGGGGTCCCGGTATCATCTACCGCTAGCCCCGCTATATTCCTGTTGACCAATATAAGAAATATTGGATTCGGACACCAAAACTCAGTATTAATAATCCCGCAGTTTTGGGGTTTGGATCGATACGCTGGTCCCAGATGCTACAGATCCCCAACTTTGTACTTCTGAGCCTGTGTAGGAGTGGAAAGTGACACCTTGCAGTACTAAGTTATCTTTAGGTTGGTGTTTTTTGGTGCAGGGATAAACTTGACCTTTTAGGGGTTGAGATGGAAAACCTGCTACCACTATCGATTCTTACATATTACCCAACTAAAATTATGATATGACGGAAGTTCTCAATCGCGATCATCAGAGTCAGTCCTTTCATGTGCTCTCGGTTGATATCAACTTGGATTGGAAAAACATATCTCAACGTTGGCTCTATAATCGAGTCCTTGGTCCTTATTTCTCTGGGATGTGGGCAGAGCATGCTGCAAGGTGAAAGGAGTGGGAGTATCCTTCGGTATCTTGGTTAAAGTCCCCTCCTCGTGCGCTTTCTGTTGCTCGCTGACCGTTAATCAGTGCTCGTTGCTGCGGACTTCGTCGGCCTGGATTGTCTTGGCTTGTCTCTGGTGCGTAGTCGGCAAAGTGTAAGAATATCAACATGTCCGATGTATGTTTCATGTGCCCAGGTACACTCCCCATCTGTACAATATAACAGGTACTCTTGGGATCCATCGCCTCAGCTGGATGGCCGATGGTCTGGTATGGAGGAGGACTGTGATTCTTCAGTTGGTTATACTTGACTGTTGAGAGTGGATTCCTTCGAAGCATTGGCCTTCTTGACTGGTCCAATTAATTCATTACTGGCCGGAATAGGATCTTCCGGGGCTTTAGTCTCAACTAGGCTACTGACAAAATACCCGTTGGCCTCCTTGTTCACTATCTTTCATGGTCCGCCATTTGATGCTGTCATTTTGTTTTTTTCACCTTGATAGCAAGCCATTACAGTGTCCCCTTCCCGTAGTTGTCTATGCTTCTTTTCGTATTTTTGGTTGTATTGGATTGTCTTTGCTTGTCTCTGGTGCGTAGTCGGCAAAGTGTAAGAATATCAACATGTGCGATGTATGTTTCATGTGCCCAGGTACGCTCCCCATCTGTACAATATAACAAGTACTCTTGGGATCCATCGCCTCAGCTGGATGGCCGAAGGTCTGATATGGAGGAGGACTGTGATTCTTCAGTTGGTTATACTTGACTGTTGAGAGTGGATTCCTTCGAAGCATTGGCCTTCTTGACTGGTCCAATTAATTCATCACTGGCCGGAATAGGATCTTCCGGGGCTTTAGTCTCAACTAGGTTACTGACAAAATACCCGTTGGCCTCCATGTTCACTATCTTTCATGGTCCGCCATTTGATGCTGTCATTTTGGTCTTTTCACCTTGATAGCAAACCATTACAATGTCCCCTTCCTGCATGCCTCAAAGTATTGGTGACTTTTTCGATGGGGATGTCAAGCACCTCAAAGCAGTTAGATATTTTTCTTCCACCGTAGTTGATATCGCATACTTCTGTTGAGGCTGTATTTTGTACTCGTGCATAAGATTCTCCCAATTTGTATGTAGCCTGGTTCCGATAAATTGATTATACCTGCTAGATATATGTTCAGGTATGGTAAAATGTCCATGTCCGAAAGTATTGGTGACTTATTAATGGGGAGGTCGAGTACCTCAAAGCAGTTAGATATTTTTCTTCCACCGTAGTTGTATCGCATACTTCTGTTGAGCCTGTATTTTAAACTCGTGCATAAGATCCTCCAAGTTATGTATAGCCTGGTTTTGATAGACTGATTATACCTGCTAGATATATGCTCAGGTATGGTAAAATGTCCATGCCTGAAAGTATTGGTGACTTTTTAATGGAGAGTTCGAGTACCTCAAAGCAGTTAGACATTTTTCTTCCACCGTAGTTGATATCGCATACTCCTGTTGAGCCTGTATTTGTACTCGTGCATCAGATTCTAGTATAGTTCAGTCAATACACTTCGATCCATGCACGAGCGTTGGGCTCCTGAATTGATTGGTGCATTGCATGTAATGCCATTAATTTATATGTATATGTTTAATCCTTGGTCTCGCGGGTTAGGAGTTAAAGAACAATGTGTGTAAGCATTATCAGTTGTATTTACTACGTCGGTTCTCCATCATTGTGTGCATCCACAATGTCTGCCATATTTATTAGGTTAGCAGCCGCCCACCAAGCTTGTCAGATCTTTTCATTTATCTCATGTACCCTGTTTCCATTAGTAATGGTTAAATGGTCTACATGACGGACGGGTTGACATTTCTGTGCTGCACGAACGACCGCCTCTTATTGTGGTTGCTTACTTTCTTCTTAAGGCACTTGCTGAACCCATGAGATATAGGACTACACCACAGCGTGGGCAAAGTATTGGTCTTCGCTAGGTATAGTTCGTATTGCCCAGTCCTATGGTACGTCCTCGGCCTTGACCTGGACCTGGACCTGGTGGCCCTTCCCCTCTGGGTGGACCCCCCATTGGTGTGTCAAACTGTGGACGATTAACTCGTTGTTTTGAGATGGGTGCTTTTATCGCTCGCTTGCATTTTTCCTGACAAGGTCTTCTGTGGATCATGGAAGGCCTTCCCTGATACGTCAGACAAGTGTTCACTACTGCCCTTAAGCTCTGTTTGAGGGTTTATTAACTTGTTAGTTTCCGCCTGCTGTCCGTACATGACTAATGAGAGATAAAATGATCCTTTGAGAAGTTGAATATTGATAGGCTCTCTTGCAGTGTTCTTGGACTATTTTTCAAGCTCAAGAATTGTTCTACGCAAACATGCTGCTAATACTTCTACGTTCATTCCACTGTCACATTCCTCCATTAGGTGGTCCGCAAGTCGTTAATGATCAATATTTTGTAACTTACAACGTCGGTGGAGTCTTTCCAAAGCTGTTGGAACTGCGTATACTGTTGATTGCTGTACGCGCCACTTCCGTGGCGTCAAGTCCGTCTTACCAACTCCTGTCTGTCTTACCGACTCCTGACTAGCGATATTGTACTATTGGTATATTGGTTCTCGCAAACATGTCTATTGCTACTGTTACGGGTTCTATTGTGTCACGACACTCAGCCATGCTAACATACTTGCTGGCTGGCAATTTTAGAATCTCGCTCATTTTGAGTAGCGTGTCCATATCTGGAACTGAGATTTCATCTCCTCCATGAGATCTAATTAATGTTAATTCGCTCATAAAGTCATTAATTGCAATACGCTCGTCGTGATCGCTCCTATCAAAGCTATCCATAGCTTTATTGTATAGATCTGATATATAACGATTCACTTCTGGGTTCAATCTCTTTGGTTGTTAGGATGCACTGCGTTTCTGAGTTTGTGGAATGCTCGTATGTCAACGATATCGTCCATCTTTTGTGCGTATAGTTTATCCACTAATATGCCTATGATGGACGCGTTGCCCTCATATATGTTCTTGTCGATGGACACGTGGAACTTACTCATTAATGGGGCAAATGGTACACCCCCTGGTGTTGACTAGTCGCCCGACTGTATCACTCATCCTCCATTACCTGGAATGGAGCTGCCCGATGGCGCTTGAGATTTTGACAACGTGAATGCTTGTACTGGCCGAGTTCTTGTAGTACGACTTGTCCTTTCTCTCCTGGGTGTGCGGCTCGAGCTTGCATATATGCGTAGGACCCTTCGTGCTACTCGGGTCCTTTGACAGGGAGTAGAAGTCATTGACTGTTCTGCGTATGGATTATTCATTGTAGTGTCAGAACATAATATTTATTGTATCCACGTGCGGTATTGGACTGGTTTGTTCTCCAGCAAAAAAATATATTAAATTCACACGTTTCGTGTTGAGTATGGTTGTTTATCTTCATGCTGGCCTCCGTCGTGGTGTCTGCGTGGGAGATGGCCGTAGTGCCCTGGGCTTGATTGATTCAGACTGACGTTCTTCTTGACACCCGCGTTTATGTGGAAGTGTTAGAGATTTAGCTTATAAGCCTTGGGTTGTGTTTGTTTATTCGACTGTTTGTTATAAACTGGACTTCGTGTATAAACTCAGCTTAATGTGTTGTCAATCTTGGGTTGAGATTTTAATTGGAATTTTCAGACGTGTCGCGTGTCAGAGTATCAGACTTATGTGTTTTCAGACGATTGTAAATTTGTTCGTTTGTGCTTCTGTAGTCTTAGAACGTTGGCAATTTATTCGCATGTGTTTGATATAGTGATGTAGTATCACTGTATTGTTTAACATAGGTGCACATTTATTTGGTCATTTTGTGCAGGGTTCGATTGCTTCTATGAATGTTGTGTGTATATGTTCGTGTAATTATTGTAATTATGATACGTCTGCCACCAACTGTGTATTCCATCACTTTGTAGTCGAGTGTAGATAAGTGTATATGTTATGTTCTTGATTTATTAGATATACATTGTGTCTTCTAATCAGGTATATACCTTTGATCATTTGTTACTTCTATGGGGTTGAGATGAAATGCACTCCCTTTCTTTCTGGGTACTAGAATGTGTTCTGCCTACGTATTTGATTTGTATTGCTTGTACTTCATTCTCAACCAAAATAAGTACATATAATCGACCGCAGTGCCAAATGTACACTGCATGGGGTTGAGATGCAATGCACTTCCTTTATTTCTGGGTACAAGAATGTGTTCTGCCTACGTATTTGATTTGTATTGCTTGTACTTCATTCCCAAACAAAATTAGTACATGTAATCGACCGCAGTGCCAAATGTACACTGCCCGAATGTCGTGTGCTTCATATCTATATGTTTTATGAACACAGTTTCTAAATGTACATTGAAAATGTAGACAATAAACTAAATGTACATTCACTCAATTATTCCGATGAAAATTTACTGAAATATTGATCAAATATGTACATTTACTGACCTAAAAGCGACAAATCCACTTTTTTCAACGTACATTTACTGACCTTTCGTGCAAAATTTGCTTAAATTTTGCATTTAAGAGCCTTCGGCTCTATGTGTTTTTTTTAACCAATAAATGTGTTTTAGGGTATTAATTTATATTGATATATACTACTTCATTCAAGCTTATCACACTATCTGCGCGCAACTTCACGCGTGGTATGTGATGTTCTCCTAGGAACATACGGGAAATGCACGAGTCGTGGATTTTCTAAAACTGCTCTACCATAGGCACAAAGCAAAACTAATTCAGCGTGCAAGATTCTTTACAAACTGGTTTTGGATAATCAAATTCACTATGAAAGACTCGGCCACGTGAACTCCCGAGCGAGCTGGGTTCGTACCCTTGTCATTAAAAGTTTGCACTCAAAAGTAAAGTTACTAAATGGACATAATAAGTCCTTAAAAAGGTACTTTTTGAAATAAACATGAGTATAGAATTGACATCGCATTTAGAGACGTTGATTAGCTAATTATAATACGTACCGGTAAATCCTTATGTAAATCTTGCGGCTTTTCCATGTAGGTCATGTACATTTAGGGTGCTTCCTTATAATTTACCAACCTTTGTTTTTGCTTCCCGCACCACGAGACCAAAGATTACACATAGATATACAATTGATTAGCAATATATATAACACACGCTCAGTCCCATAAGCACAATGCCTGTGTATGGACAAAGTATAGTAACATAAGTATATCTATCAGTCAAAGTACAACTTGGTTACATACCCCTGGCACTGACGGATGCTAGAATCCAAAGAACAGGGTTAACTGAAGTATGTGCCATTAACTATAGAGGGCGCAAACCATCACAGTGTTTCAAAAAACTGGACCTACCAGACAAGAAGACGCCGATACTCTTATGTATGTATATTCTTCCACACATGGGTGTATACATAGCTGGCTTAGTAAATCCAATTGTACCAACATATGTAGAATGGAAATCACTACTACGAAGAAGACTCAGCGCACGAACAAAAGCGTTTTAGATATTCACTTGCAGACATAACACTTGGAACGTATCATAAAGCGCCTGAGCAAATGAATAGCCAACAAACGTTACACCCAATTGTTAGCCAGATGGATTGCAAAAACATTCCTACACCACTTCTCCATAATACATGTCTTAAGCAAGGACACCCAAATGTCAGACATGTTATCGCGCTACATAAATATACATACAAAACCAGAATGTCAGAGGTACTTGAATAATCGAACAAAATGACGCACAACAGCCAAGAGTACACCACCTCGGAAACAAACATGCTAATAGCCATTTCAGCTATAGACTGGAACTTATACCCCATGTTCAGAGGCTGAAAGAAGGTTTGGCAAGTTCACAGTAGATCTGTTTACAAAGGCACACAATGTACATTCAATACTACACAAGAATGCTACACATAACAAATCAGAAGGTGTTGTTACAAAAATGGGCAGAGGAAGAAAATGCATAGGCAAATTCACATTGGGTACTCATACCTGATGTCCTATTCATAGAAGGGGCAACCAGCACGACGATGTGTACAATAGTACTCAAATTCAGCGTGATTCCATAAATTCGTGTCTTTGTCAGAAGAATATCCGATGCTAGTTTTAAATACAAATAATACTCTCCTCAAGTCACGTTAATGGCAAAGAGACAAACAAATTCTTCATGCTTTGGCACAAGACATGAACAAATAGCCTTACATGTCTCAGCATCACAAACAGTACCCACTGGGGATGTAACAAAATCGACCAACTACGAGGCACGGATCCACAACATCGAGCAAAACCACAATATGGTACACAATATCTCAGAGGAGGCGGTAAACAAACTGCAAGCAGATGGACATGATTGGCTACTAATTGAACAACATGCACATAAATACTTACAAGATTGTGTTTCGTGTCTCAAGAATAAAATTAACAAAAAAGGGCTTCCACCCCTTACAATAAATTCCAGCCGCTTTTCCAGGCGACAAATCCAAGTGGATACCACAGGCCAACTACTGGACTTGAATAGAGGCAACATATATTTGTTAGTGTGAGTAGATATGTACTCATCATACTCGGGTCAATGATGAACAAATCAGCAGCTACTGTATCTGGAACGTTGCTACCAATATTGAGTGAACATGGATTCCCATAAGTCATACAGGCAAAACAAGGCAGTGATAAATTAATGAGATACTTCAAACGACATTGCACAAGTGCCGACACAACACTTCGCCTTTTGCCCGTATCAACTTAACAGTCTTAGGCGCAAACGAGCGGTCACATAGAAACCTCATACTATTGTTTGGGAAATTCGTTGAACATTACCCTGGCAACAGGTGTTCACCACGACTACCATTTTTATAAGTGGGTCACAATCTGCGTTCGTCAAGGGTGCAAATTAAATCACTTCGATTTAATGTGATTTTGAAGCAGACGAACCCATTTAACGGAATGCAACAAAGTAGTGAACGCACCAGGTACAGCAGTACCATGGAAACAGCGACTGATAACCTAGAAGGATCGATCAGACCACAAATAGACGCTAATGTTGCACAATATCAAAAGAAAATGCGCTCAGTATATGTCCGAAAATACCAAAAGAAGCATGAACACTTCCAGGAAGGAGACATTGTAATTTTCCGATATCAAGGTGAGATGAACAAAATGACGGCACTGTATTGTTTGTAGCATTGATGGAATTAAAGCCTCGGAATATCCTATCCCGGCCAGTGATGAATTAGTTGGGCTCATTAATACAGTCAATACGTCGGAAAAATTCACTCCCATCAGCCAAGTAAAACCATCCTATGAATCACAGTCCTCTTCTTGTCCGGAAAGTCAGGTATTAATGCCTTGACTGTGTCTGACAAGGGCTTATATGGTTTCACAGCTGTCGTCTGATTGATCCTTTAATGGATCTATGTTATCTGGTAAACCAGTTACGGTTATACCTAAAGTGAGTAAATCACTCATTCCGACTATTAAGTCGTACTTCTGTGACATCTTAACTATTACAGCTTGGGTAGTGATATTTCTATCATCGGCCAGGGAGATTTTAACATCTATAGCCATGGTATCACACTTAGAAGTTTTGTCATCTGCTAAGATTAGGTGAGTAGTTTGAGTTCGCCTTTCATAAGGGCGGCTAACTGATTCTTAAGATCAGTGTTTTCAGTAATTGACTTACTTATGCGCGTTGGTTCAGTGATCTCGGACGTAGATTCGGGTTTGCCACTCGAGCTTGCCTCCTCTTCTGGTTCCGGTATAGGTACCTTCTGAGATTCGTTTTTGTCCCTTATAATTGTGGACTTTTCTTTTTGAGTTTCGTCAGAAGAATTGGTTGGGGCGTCTTGAGACGTGTCCCTTGTCTCACTTATTGGCTTCGTAAATGCAAGCTTTGAAGTTGAGGCAATAGTTGGCCCTCGCACCGCACTAACGGCTGTCTCTGCTCTGTCTGCCCCGATAGCCACAAATTCACCACCAGCTACTTTGTCTGCATCCAACAATTAATCCGACGCATTACATGTTACATTGATCGACTACCGCATTGACGGCAGTCTCTGTCCTGTCTGCTCCGGTAGCCACATATTCACCACCAGTCACTTTGCCTGCATTCAACAATTGATCCGTCGCATTCTGGTAGGCCCGAAACTGCCGCCGATTGGCCCTGACCTCCGCCAGAAATTATAGAAGCGCCACGACTTCCACGGTATCTGAATCCTCCACGGACAACTTGTATATTTTCTCCAGCATGTAGAACAACCACCGTACCCTCACCCGTCTCCGACACATCAACAGATGCTACTAGCCAGCACATACCGAGTGCGTCCATGGTCTGGTGCGGCATTGGCTCACTTCCAACTCCTCGACCGAATTATGACGAAAAACCTGGTCCTACTCGATATTTCGTACTCTGCACTAACCCAATCCACGGTACTACACGGCGTAGACCCGAACCGTACCACAGAGGTGGGTACGCTACTTAGTCAGCAAGTGAATACATGGCACACTCGATGGTGTCAATTATTTGTCAACACCGGCCTAAATTGACCTAGCGCATATCCTCCATCGTCGACTCACTTGGCCCAAGCTTCAAGCGGGGATTTACTGACCAAATCTTCCCTCCAATCTTTCCCGAACCACTACAACGGCTATGAGAGCCATAGTATATATACATCCGTTGTAACTTATCTCTTCTGAAATAAATAATATTTTCTCTTATGATATTGGCACGCGCAAGATCCGTCTGAGCTTTATGTGAACACGGTAGAGAACAGCGCGTCTCTCTGACCTCTGTCGTGTGCGGGCGCGCACCATCGCACAAAACTAGCCTCTTATTTCAATGCATGCTTGTAGACCGTATCGCAGGCTGTATTTACTATTCTGAGTATGTAAGCCCCTTGTAATAAGAAATAAAATAAATACATAAACGTATACCGGCCTCGGGCGGTCAGGCCTCATCCTAATAAATAAAGGAAATGGCCCTCAGAAAGTCCGACTGGTCAGGCTCTCAGGCTTAAGGGTCTCAGTGACTCAAAACTCTCAGCGGAGTGGCCAAAAAAATCTCAGGCCCTCAGTCGCGGCCTCGCCCCTCATGATCAGTCTTATCCACTATTCATTTCTAGTATGTATGTCGCCTTCGATTTTGGCGCGAAACAAATAAAAATATGTAAAAACATAATGTTCAGTGTTTTCAGGTCGCTTGGTTCAGGGCTTCAGGTTATGATTGTTTTAGTAGTGTGGCTGTGTGGGTCTCTTGATCCGTGATAATAAGGATTAATTTTCAGAATGAGTATACTTTTAAATCAAACAAGGCTATGAATACACAGTTCACATGTAATACATATCAATTGCACAAATACTTTTAATACATATTTCTCAGCTATAGACGACATATCAACGATATTTAGGCACACAGTACGTCATTAAGCTGCTCGCGTTTAGGGGTTTGGTGGTTGATAGGACACTTCACATTTAAACACCATTTTATGTGCAACGAACGTCATTATTATTTTTTGTTATTAAGGAGTTCTAAAAAGGCATTCTGCCACTCAAACAAACCTCAGCTTTGTTGGATACAACTGCAAGGCATCATCGCTTCCAGCCTTCCACCCATATTCGAGGTGTTTGATTAATGTTTGAGATACACAACTATACACACACACACACACAAAATATATGTATGTATATTTACATATATTAATACTTTTATATTTCTATAATATATATATATATATATATATATGGATATATATACCACGCTAGATGCTTACAGGTTTGAAACGGAATATGGATGTGCACGATTAAAGCTCTGTGCGTCATGCAATATAAAAACCCAGAGCTCCGCGTACAGGATAGTGTTCTCGAAGTAATGCGTCAAGAATGATAGGTTCAACGTTGTGTTCTCACGGGATTATGACGGGAATAAAAAGTGCAATCGACCAATACGCCATTTTGGGTGTCTACGGAGGCCTTCTCGTTCCCCTTCCCTTTCTTGTTTTCAAACTTAGATTCCCCACAGACACCTTTCAACAAAACTGATAATACGCATGCTTTGACAGTTCGGGCTGTGTACGAGATGACTCGTGGGTATAGTGTTGTGCTATTTATATCTATTTGAAATACGCGGTCCCCTTGCCATATAGTGATAGATGTTCGAATACAAGATATTTTTATACACCGATATAAGATAGTCAATCTAACATGCAGTGTATGCGCAGGTGGGCTCGCGCGAGTCCTGCCTGAGAAGGCGTGCTATGTGCGCTGTAATTGAGAACATGGAGAGTAAACTGCGATGTCTAAATTGCATAGAGCCAAATCAAGAGCTGAAAGAATATCAAAAGAAGTTGTTGTTTAAGTGACGCATGTGGACACGGTACAATTATACGTCGAGAGGTGTTCTGTATGTAAAGTAAATGAGGAATGTAATGATATGAGCTCCGTGCTATGCATCATATACATATGTATACGGTATGTAGTGAACGCAAATGAGTGAAGTGATATGAACTCCGTGCATCATGCCACAAGCCCACAATACACAATTCTAAGCTCCACTGTACGGAATAGAAGTTAAACGTAAACGCATAATGAGTCAATTTTAAAACGTTACAACGGTTATAATGTGTTCAGAAGAGCCTACCAAGTTCTTTATATAGGGCTGGTTTGTATATTAAGAATAGTAAACACTTAAATATTTAGACCCACAAAGTGCACCTAATAACATACAGAGGACCATAAATGGAATATAAGCTGAACGTAAACAACATACTTTATGATTTAATATATATTTTTTTCCAAAAACAAATACAGTTTCAGAGTCCAAAACATAATAATTCGAGCGGTAAGAGAAGCAATGATACGTTTATAAGCCCGAGCGACTTTTATTAATCGTAGATTATTTGCAGACTGAGCTAGTACGTATTTCATTTTATACGTTTTTATATTTTTTTTTGTGGTTCAAGTCTATAGTAGGTAGTACCATGTGCAGTATTTAGTTGAGGTGTCCCGTGGGAAAGCCTTTGTACAAAACGATTCGTCTCATATTGTGCTTCGGTCTTTTTGTCATCATGTCGACGTATGTTTCTATGTGCTAGAGTATAGTATAGTATAGTATAGTATAGTATAGTATAGTATTACTATAGTTCTAGTATGAGTGTATGTATGTGTATACGCGTTCGACAGTACAGTAATCGAGTAGCGAAATCGAGGAGAATGCCTGCACGCAAATGCCGAGTGGTCTGGTGACCTGGACGTAGTCCGTTACTCACCACAATTGCTTCAATCAACGCGTTACAAGTACCCAAAAAGCATGCATCTCTTCCGTGTATTGATCATACGGATATATCACTCAGATACACTACCGTTCGACAACATGCGTTATAGCTACTATATCCGATATTCACACTGCATGTAAGTGATCTGCTGTGCTGGTTCTGAAGCTTTATCGTCTATTCGCCAGCTTGCAAGTTATACGGTCGTATATCATGGCTTCTTATGTCATATATAAATTGCACGTCTCCGTATTCTACAGTCCTGGTGTTCCCGAGTCTTTCGCTAAGAAGCAGAAGGCGCTTTTGGCCATCCAGGCCAAGCGTAACGAAGCTAGCATCAACAACAAGAAGGTATGTCATTCGCAATAACAATTTGGATGCAATACACTTCAAATTCCTGCTTCTACACAATAATGAACTAGTGGTGTGTACACTACACTTGTACATAATGTGAAGTACATAATGTGAAGTGTAAACAAGAAGAACCGAGTGGGAATCTACAAAGCTACATGGAAGCTGGAAACAACAAATCGATCGGAAAGGGCATACTTCAAATAATCATATCACCTGGAATGTTATATACTAGTCGTTGCTATCACGAGAATGCTTACAATGCAAACATCACGCATGTCTGTCTTCGAAAATAGAGAGTTATTGTGAAGGGAATGACGCAACAAAAATACAAATAGGTGGTTTGATAGGATTAAGTGCGAAATGGCAGCCGCACTGGTGATGGCCAGGGATACGAAACGAAATCAAACCCGCATAGATACAACAGACACGCATATAAATATAAATATGTGATTATATTATTATATATATATTGTATATGTATGTGTATATGTATAAATGTAAATATGTATATGTATATGTATATGTAAATATGTATATTTATATATATATATTTATATATATTTACATATATAAATATCATATATAAATATATAGTATATAGATATTTATATATATATATATATATAGTATATGTTTGTATGTATGTATGTATGTATGTATGTACATGTAATTATACATATATATAAAGATACACATACACACATAAATATATACGTATATACGTGCAAGACGTACGTATGTACATACGTAAATATGTATGTATGTATACGCATATAAATGAATTGTACATCATATATGTACTATTTATCTACGCATATTAAATCTATTCATGTGGATGCATCTTGATTTTTATATATGTATTCTATATGTATATTTATATATATAGCATGTATCTATTTCCATGCATAAATATGTAACTACATATACATGAGTATATTGTGCTTTTAGGCATGTATATCAATGCTTGTATGCAATATTTTTTGTTTTGTGTGTTTCAACTGCTTTTACGTACACAAACGCCCACCAAAAATCATGAAGATATATATCTGTTTGCATTTGTACAAGTATTAGTTATATATACGTGTTTGATTGTTGGTTATCTATACAAAATATGCATTTATGCACAAATATAAACTGATATATCGGATATTGTATCGATCTACAGATATATATATATATATATATATATATATACGCACACACACACATATATATACATATATATATATACACACACATATATATATACATGTATATATGTATATATCTATATATACACACACACACATATATTTTTATATATAAATAGATGTATAGATGTTTGGTCAGTAGTGTTCTCTTGTTGTGTATACCTATATACGTATAGCTGTTTGGAGTTGATGGCAATGGACAATGTTTTATTCAAAATCACTTTTCGCATAGAGAATTACTAGTAAACTTAATGCACGTACATTTCCGACTTGACCTATTTTGCCTTGCAATTGGGTCCTGACACTCACACTGTTTTGTTCCATTGATCTGATTTGATGTGTAGGCGCTGAAGGACAAGCGTCGTGTCATCTTCAAGAAGGCGCTGAAGTACGAGAAGGAGTACAATGGCGCTGAGAAGGAGGAGGTCCGCATGCGCCGTCAGGTACGTGCTTTCGCTGATCTATATGTACTCGTCAACTGATTGTACCGGATGAGACATCAATTGCTCTGTGGCGGAGACTATGTGTGTTTCTGGCGTTTGTTTTTGTTGAACGGGCGTGGTGTGGTTATATCGAATCTTAACGGCAATGTTTAATGCACGGAAGGTTTTGACATCCATCCCATATGGTCGCGCTTGCACTATGTAAAGGCGTTCGTGGAGTCCCTGCATCACGACCATTTATATACAAGACCTGCTTATTTAGGTAAGGCAAGTACCCCATACCCACACTCTCAGACAAGCTTATTAACACAGTCCTATCCGCTCTGGATTCATAAACACACAGGCTCGTGCCAACGGCAACTTCTACGTCCCCGCTGAGCCCAAGGTGATGTTTGTGGTGCGTATCCGAGGTATCATTGGTGTAGACCCCAAGACCAAGAAGATTCTTCAGCTGCTGCGTTTGCGTCAGATCAATAACGGAGTGTTTGTCAAGGTCAACAAAGCGACCATGAACATGATTCGTCGTGTTGAGCCCTTCGTTGCCTACGGATACCCCAACTTAAAGACCGTTAAGGACTTGGTAAGTGTGTATGTTCATGGGTGTCGGTGTAGTAGAAAGCAGTATTTTGGGTAGATCAGTCGGTTAAAGGAACACCGGAGTGTCTTTTAGTGTATGGTTTGACATGACTTTGTCATAGCATCCATAAATTACGCACACTAAGCAAGCACTTAGTTAAGTTAGGTGTACTGTTTCTTCTGTTTAGTTGTATATAATATTTTTTCAGGCGTTGACAATTCGAGATGTAACAACAGTTCGCTGTTTTTAAATGTCTACTTCGATCTGTCACCGATTTGTCATGTTTTATACGTCCATGTGTTCAACAGCATGCATGCATATGTATATGTATACGTATTTCTTGTTTAAACAATTTTAGCAGGGGAGTACTGTAACTCCGGGAGAATAGACAATTAGGCCCTACAATTGGCGGACATGATTAATATTCCCGCATACAATATTCACCATAGTCAAATCAGCAATATATTGTTCTACATGTTATGTATGTTTACAAATGTAACAAGTCAGTCGTTTTATCGCACTAGAGACACTTCACGGGTGTCTCACCGTACAGGTCTTCAGTGTTAGCTATTAAATTATAAGCTTCCGTTTCTTTTTAGAGTCGCATGCTTGACGAATCTCATGTCATTTCATGTGCTACTGAAACGGTAGATCGAGGGTGGGGAGGCACACATTGTGTACTTGGGACATTGTCCCCATTTACATCGCTGATCCATATACATTCAAATCACGGAACAAGTTTTTTATACCTACTAGTTATGTGCATATATATACGTATTGCTCGGCCTACTCGAAATAGTTATCAAGTTCCGCTTGTATTGTACCAAGCTCGCCTTGTTTTAAACCGACACGCACTTCTTACGCATATATATAAAACGCACAACACTCGTTTTCTGTAGATCTACAAACGTGGACACGGTAAGGTCATGAAGCAGCGTGTGCCTCTGGTCAACAACGAGATCATCGAGACCAGCCTAGGCCAGTACGGTATCGTCTGTGCCGAGGATCTGATTCACGAGATCTACACACTAGGTCCCCACTTCAAGGAAGCGTCCAACTTCCTGTGGCCGTTCAAGCTGTCTTCACCTCTAGGTGGTTTCACGCACAAGCGCCGTCACTTCATCGAGGGTGGACAGTACGGTAACCGTGAGGAGTACATCAACCCATTGGTCCGAAGAATGAATTAAATGTATTTCTTGAGTAAAGAAGAAATGCGCGATAATCGGGGGTGATTAGGGGATGGGTATAGAGCTTATTAAGTTGATAAATGAGCATCTCGTCTTCTATGTCATGTACTTGTACTTTTAATTGTATTTTTCTTTTTTATGGACGGCTGCTTTTAAGAGTTATCATTTGGCACAAATAAGTGTGCAACTCGTCTTATGGCATATACTTGTTAGTGTTTTTCGGTTTTCTTTTTCTGGTTCTTTTCGAAGCCTTGGTCATTTGACGCAAACATGTGAGGAATGTACACTCGGCCAGTTTTTTTTTTCGATGGCGATTTTGGATTTTACTTTCATTTTGCACAAAAGGTCTAAACCTTGAAACAGAACAATAACGTGTATATGCTTCGAATTCAATTGTAATAGTACACTTTCATTTTGTCATGTATTAGTGACAGCAGCATCTTGTCCGGTTGTTTCAATCAGGTGGGCTGTTAGACTAGGGCAAAATCATTCATAAGTATGCGCAGCTATATCTGTGTATATAGCCAAGTTAGTTTTCTGTATATATAACTAGGTCAATATTAATTGCATCATCGCCCCATATAGCGAATGTAAGTGTTAGTAGTCAAGTACGGTATAAATGAAAGCCAGATCATAGTACTGTTTACTGCTGGTGTGTAAATTCAACGAGAATCTCTGCATATATATATATATAAATATCTAGATATATATAAATATATATATATATATCTATATGTATCTAGATACATCTAGATATTTATGTATATATATATATATATATCTATACGTATACATATATATATATATATATATATATATACATACATATACATACATACATCCATACATACATACATACATACATTCATACATACATAAATACACACACACACACACACATACACACGCACACACACACACATATATATATAGCATATATATATATACATATATATATATATATATATATATTTATATGTATATATATATATATAAATATATATACATATAAATATATATATAATATATAATATATATATATATATATATATATATATATATAGATATACATACATACATACATATATATATATATATATATATATATATATATGTGTATATATATATACATATATATATATTTATATATATATATATGTATATATATATGTAGAGAGATATGTATGTATATAGAAATTTATACATAAATACATATATATGTATATACATATACATATATGTGAATATATATATTTATATATATATATATACATATATATATACATATATATATACATATATATATATATATATATATACATATACATATGTATGTACACACACATACGCACAA